TTTTTTTTTTTTTTTTTTTTTTTTTGTGGAACATCACAATCCACCCCTCTCTCCGCACCTTACAAAAGGGTGTTTGTTCTCCTCCCAGCTAACCGTGGAACATCACAATCCACTCCATTCGGGGCCAGTGTCCTTCCTGGCACATCGCATTGTGTCTACCTCCTTCGAGGAAGAGCGAGAAGGCTAGCACATCATCCAGTGTCTGGATACCATTTCTAACGGTTCAAATCCACCATTAGCAAATATTGTCCTCTTTAAGTTTTCCCCTCAGGGCTTTAAAACGCATCTGCTGGGAAGGTTGTTTTCCTCCCAACCAATGTGGGACATCACACTCTCAATTTTATATCATTATTATTGGTTTGGGTTTAATTTTTATATATTTAAAAAAAAAAAATATTTGTATAATAAATCTAATGGAAAGTAAAATTCAAATTACCTTGTTGATTGAATAGGTTAAGACCAAAACATTGTTTGACATTCGAATCTAGCTTGAATGATTCTTATTGATCAAATATCTCAATGTAAGAACACTTGTTTGAGATTCGAATCGCTCCACAAGAAAAATCGATCATGTCGAGCTTGAATGATTCTACATGCAACCTAAACTACTAGTACAAATATTCTCTGTTTTTGTTCGTTATGTATGGCAGTCAGCCTCACAGTTTTAAAATGCATCTATTAAAAAGAGGTTTTCATACCTTTATAAAGAACGTCTTGTTCTTCTCCAACTGACGTGGGATCTCGCAAAATGCACGAACATATCAACATTTTGATGAAGACAATTTAAGAAAGCTTTTCAAATTACGTACTTAAAGAGCGAGATTTAGGACCAAATACTATTGAAACTTTGTTTCGATCGCTTCACTATCACGACCATAAGCCTTAACAATAACTTATAAAGCTTGGTACAATGATCTTCCCATAACCGTCGAACTTATAGTCGACCATAATATGATAGGACTTGTTTGGGCCAGGAGCAACGCTAGGGATAAAAGAACTCTAACCCAACGACCCTAGTTTGTAATAGCTCAAGCTCACCGCTAGCGAATATTATCTTTTTTGGCCCATTACGTAGAGATATCCACAATAGTTGGAGGGGAACAAAACATTTTTTTATAAGGGTATGGAAACCTTTCTCTAACAAACACGTTTTAAAACCATGAATCTAATAATAATACGTAACCGGCCAAAACGGACAATGTCTGCAAGCGGTGAACTTAGACTATTACAACTGGTATAAGAGTCAGTTAGCAAGGATGTTCACCCCCAATGAGTGGATCGAACTTGGAATCTATGATGGTTACTCTTAAATCCCAAGACGACTCACTCTAGAATTAGCTTGATCAAGACTAATCCAAAGTTGAATGGAAAGACATAACATAAATAATCTTAAATGTAGTTCAATTACTAAAAACAAAAAGTCTTCAAATCACTCGAGCGATATTTATTGCCACTCAATTCTTTTCTTGATTTGATACTTGAATCTTCTTTGCATTGCTTATTGTAATTGCTATTTTGAATACATGCAATTGATGAGTGGTTAGATTCATATCCAAAGTCAAAGGAGACAATATCTACTAGTAGTGGATTTGAGTTGTTACACAATTAGTTTACAAACTAGAGGCCCTAGGAAGAGGAGACACAAAACACAATGTATAAAAACGGGTAGGAGTGTAACGGATAAAAAAAAACTAATAAAAAAAAAATCCCATGGTCGTCGGCGAGACCGAAAACTCTAGCGAACGCTGGAGTTTTCGTTTGCACACTACCCACAAAGTGGCTCGACGTCGAGGTCATCACGAAAACCAAACCCGACCTTCAGCCACCTTCAAGACACCTACAAGAGAGAAAAATAGTGAGAAGAACGAGAAAGACAGTGAGAACCGACGAAGCTCCGACGAAGCCAAACCCTACGAAATCAACGTCGAAATCTACCCTTGAACGATGGCCTTTTTGCTGTTCCCCGAAGGGGAGGTAGACACGAGGCAGTGTGCCAGTAAGGATGTTGGGCCCCAAAGGGGTGGATTTGGGGGTGGTCCCACATCGATTGGAGGAAGGAAAGAGTGTCAGCGAGGATGCTCGGTCCCGAAGGGGGGTGGATTGTGATGTCCCACATTGGTTGGGGAAGAGAACAAACCGCCATTTATAAGGGTGTGGAAACCTTTCCCTAGTAGACGCGTTTTAAAGCCTTGAGGGAAGCCCGAAAGGGAAAGTCCAAAGAGGACAATATCTGCTAGGGGTGGATCTGGGTCGTTACATAGAGAGTGCAAAGAGGTAACACAAGAACCTAAACCTCGTGGGAAAGGGAAAGAAACATTGTGAGCTTTTAGAAGACCTTATCGTGGTACTATTTTAAGTGCTCAAAGAACCTTATCTTGCTATCGAACGAAAAATCATAAAAATTATTAGATCGTCAAAAAGACAATACAGTGATAGTCTATTGACCTTATGAGCATAGTGAGCTGAGATCTCGTAATCAACTTCATGAGTATCGTAGCTAAACACGAGAATCAGCAATAGCGAGAAATAGATGAAAGAACAGGAAAAAAGATGGAGAATAATATATAGTGAAAGCATATAATTATTATTAATTTAAAAAAAAAAAAAAGTCGTTTTATCCGTTGACCGTTGAAAGAGTCCATCCCGACGTCGTTTAGTTCATCGTGGCGCGCTATTCTTTCAGTTACTGTGAATGTTTGTGTAAGAACTTAACCTTTGTTCTTAATTGAGTCACCGACTCACCTAACCCAGCGTTGAAACTCTCCGCCTAAGGCCTTCGTCATTCGACATTTTTTCAATCGGAACAACAAGAGGAAGCGGGTAATGGCTAGGAAGAAGATTCGAGAGTACGACTCTAAGAGGCTTCTCAAGGAGCATCTCAAACGCCTCGTTAATATCGATCTCCAGATCTGCTCTGCTCAGGTTAATATACATAATACATATGTTCTCATGTTCTTATGTAAACTATCTGATTTGTCTTTGGTTTTCATCGTCGTATGTTGGAATTTCAATTGATGTTCATTGGGTTCAATTTCCGTCGTGTTTTTGGTGCAAATCTATCAAATTGGCGCAATCTTGTGTTGATGGCTCTGTCGGTTTGTCGATCTAGATTTTTATGAGGTTGCTTTCTAGTTTGGATTGGTTTTATGTTGTCGGATGGGATCCCAGTTCTAGATTGGGATTTGTTTATGCCGAGGTTTTGGTTTCGATTTTGTTTTCATCGGAAACAGTAACCGGTTGGATTTGGAAGCATTCTCCAGTTCAGAAATGAAAGTGAAATTTAGATGATTGAAATGAAGTTGTGGGACTCTTATCTTATTTATGTCCCATTTCCTTTTAAGAAGTTCCTATTGTTCATTTCTTGAATAAGTGCATTTTGTTTGACTGTGTGAATCAATCAGCCAGAGAGTTTGATTAGTCAATCATTTTGTTTCACTTATTGTCATATATTATACATATCTAATGGAATTTGTTGAGCCACAGGTAAATCAGTCGACCGACTTCGCTGAGCTGACGAATAATGAACCATGGCTGTCATCCACTCGGTTGGTAGTGAAACCGGATATGTTATTTGGGAAACGTGGAAAGAGTGGTTTGGTAGCTTTGAATTTGGATCTAGCTCAAGTTGCGGAGTTTGTGAAGACACGCCTTGGTGTGCAGGTGATTGTTCTTTCGCACCTTCATGATCTTTTGAATTCTATCTATCTCTGTTTGGTATGAACTGATTGTCTTTTTATGATAGGTCGAGATGGGTGGTTGCAAGGCTCCAATTACGACATTCATTGTTGAGCCATTTGTTCCCCATGATCAAGAGTATTACCTATCTATTGTCTCTGAAAGGCTTGGCTGCACAATAAGTTTTTCAGAGTGTGGGGGTATTGAAATTGAAGAGAACTGGGATAAGGTAGGCATTGGATTTTCACTAACATCTTCTCAGTACTGCAATTATATTTTCTCATCTCGGATTCGGGTGGAAAATTTTATTTGTTTTGTTTTCACACAGGTCAAGACGATTTTCTTACCAACTGAAAAACCTCTTACACCTGAGGCATGTGCTCCGTTAATAGCTACACTTCCTTTGGAGGTCAGTTTCATTTATAATTTGTTCTGGAGTTCAATTTTCTATCTTCAAACACATTGTAGCCTTTTATTGTGTTTTTTTTTTTTTTGGGGCATTTTTCTTCTCGATAAGCAAAAGTTGTATCGATAACTAAGAGAACGAAAGAGAGAGGAATTTTTTTTTTGTTGGTATTTTCCCCATTGAGAAGTAAAAGTAGCATTGATAACCAAGAATACAAAATAATGCATTTCACGTATATCTCAAAAAGAAGGAAAAAGAAAAAAGAATATATGATGATATCATTTAAGAACTGTTCAAGAATTTCCTGGAACTCTCAAGGTTTATGTTATACAAAATTGACCGCAGCTGAGAGAGTGGGTCGTCTAGACTGAAGTGAGTGAGGCTCACTGATCTACTTTAAATGAGATCAACTCCTATCCCTATCCACATTTTGTTGAAAACTAACCATCTTTATGAATTGAAGGTCATACTTGCTTCAACGCAATGCCAAAAAGAGGAAATTTTATTAGACACTTATAGTATGTAGAGAACCACTTGGAACTACAAAGATAATGGCTTTCCTGATGGTGTTTCCTTTGGCTAGACCACTAAAC